TTTTTTAAAGTAGGAAAGGATATTATTCCTCATTTTCTTTTTTACTTTTTTAAAAAAATTTTTTTTTTAAATTCTTCTTCATATCTATAGCCTTTTCTTTCTCTTTCAGTGAAAGCTCCTCAAGTGATCCTTGCTCCAGCTGTACAAAGCATCTGTAAAATATTGACCAACTGGCAGCTTTTATAATGAATTCTAGGGTATGACACAACCTGAAGGACATCTGTGAGTTCTCCAACCAAATACTTAATAATTTATACATTCTCTTGAATCCTTTACCTTGAATATCATCCTGAAACTTTCCCCATTTGAAAAGTTGCAGATTTATTCTTTTTCTTGAATTTAAATCATTTTCCCATCTCCTTTTTCTATCTTCTCCTCAGAAAGTGAAAAAATGAAAACGCTAAGCATACTCTCTTTCATTCCTTCCCACTGTGTTAGCAGTGACATTTGTCTCCACATGTATATCGAGTTAAATTTGAAAGGTGCAAACGTACATACAAAGTTACATGAAATCTACAGATTTGTTGTGTCTGAACTTATACCTCTGTCATCTCAGAAGGGGTTAAAACCTACACTGCCTGTGACATAAAAGTGTAGCATGTCATTATTATTGGAATAGTAATGCATGCGTTGTCAGTTCTTCAGCAAACATCTAATGGTTACCTATAAACCTTATATCAAGCTGAAGGAATTTTATGTATCAACCATTTTCCAGCAGTAATAAACCAGCTGTTGTGCATTATTATTTATACGAATTTTATAATTAATTTTAAATTAGGTGATTAAATAGTGGTATAATTCACTTAGACATTAAGAGCATAATATTTCATTTGGGGTTCCAACTGTTTATGTGGAATTACATTAGCTGGAATTTAGGTCATTACTGTGTGAAAGTCAGTTAATGACAGAAAACAAACATAAGGCTTTGTGTTTGTAAGTCAGGAGACTAATAACATTTTGGAGATGACAATCTTCAGGAAATAAGATTAAGTTGGTATCTGTATCCTCCCTGATGTTGCTTCTGAAAAACAAAGTCAAAAAACGTTTGATTTTCCATTGTCATTCACCTAGAGATGCACACTGGTCTTTCTGTGCTTTCACAGTACAGGTACTGTAGGTCAGAGTGGTGAGACAATAATTTCACCCTACCAAAAAGGCTGAAACTCTAGTTGATTTCCGAAGTTGTGGGTCTTATTTTACTTCCTCCCTCACCCCACTCCCTCTCCCCCTACTTTCCCAAAAAAAGGCAGGGAGGAGTTTCCAAGGTTCTAATAAATTCTCCCTTACACCCACTCTTATTTGGCTGATTAAACAAGTGGTAGATTTTCTAGTGACTTAACTCAAGCAGAGAAAAATACACGCTTTTTCAAATAAAACCAGGAAACACTGACTTAATCTTTAAGAGTGGTTCATGAACATTTTTTCAAATATTGAACTACTGTATCACTGGCAGCAACGTGCTGTGAAGTACTAACTACAAACATTCATCACTTCGTGATTCTATGAGGCTTACGTCCTTCCACATTTCTTCCCACACAGCCTCACTCCCAGACACTTGCATTTGTATGTGAAAGCATCATGTGTGGAGTGGGCTGTCTCTACCTACCTGGAAATCCTAGTGCTCACACTGATTTATATAGTGCTACACTGATTTATATCATGCTACGCTGAAACATTGTTGTTATTGCTAATAAGCAACTACATAAGAAACTACATCTGTACACACCTTCAACATTGCTGAGATTTATAAGGCAGAATAGCAACAGCTTTTGCACACTTTAACAAACTGTTCTGACAAATGATTAATTTCGAACTGATAGTCGCCAGTCATCCTCCAGTAGGTAACAAGAGCACGTACAGAGTTTACCTGTTGGTATACGCTAGAGATGCATCACAACATAAGCCTTTATAGCAAACCCTTATGGAACTGGACATAGTAACAATCCCATTGCTGGAGATCCTATTCCCCAGTCCTCACAGCTGGGGGATCACAACCACCTGTAGTTTAACTTGTCTGTCCTCTGTAAAAAAAAGGCAGTTGCATTGTCTTCTGCCTCTGCAGCTCCTGCTTTTACTCAGCACTCATTTCTATCCAGGAAAGTGACTTCTGTCATTCTAAGAAGCATAGCAGAATTGGAATAGTTTATATTTGCATCATCTTTGTCACTACACAAACAGTGGTCCCACTGGATGTGGAAATTCCTGGTGATTACTAAGCTTCACACATCAGCCATAAGCACATCAAGGGAAGTGCCACTTTATCCACGTGACTAGAGGATTCCAGAATCACAGTCTCACCCTGTTTATATTTAAGCTGTCTTATCTTCTGTGTTTTGTTTTTCATCATTTTAAAATTAGCTCTGGTAAAATTTATGAGTACCTTGAATGGAATCACAGGTGTATTTTGGTTTGATTACTGGTCTTTCAAATAACTCTGAAGAACTGCATATCATGCCATGAGGGGGGAAAAAAAAAAGAATATATATATATACACACATATATAGATAATATATATATATATATATCCTGCAGTAGCAGTGAAAGTTTCTTTTTTTTTTTAACCATGGAATACAGAACACTCAACTGCACATTTGAGCAAACACATAGAGGTATGCACACATGATATTGCAGCCTAAGAAAACATTCAAAGCACAGCTTCACAATATTTAAAAGACAGACTTGCCCTCCTCCAGAAGCTTTATTTTTACTTTTATTAGAGATGCAGAAGGTACTTAGTGACTCTTGATACACACCTGAATAGCAGGAGTTGGACCTAAGTCAGTACTGTAATATAAAAACTTAAATACAGATTTATGGATAACATGAATAAGAGAAGCAATAAAGTAAATTTTACAAAAGGAAGTGCAAACATTTTCTTTCCATAAGTAGGTGGCAGCTAGGAAAGCCTATTCTAAAATAACTCTTCTAAACACCCAGATCCCTTTCCTTGGGGATGTCCTGAACCTTCCAACTTTAGATATGTATATACACCTACTTACATGTATGTACATTAATCTACAGACATATGCTATAGATTACACACACTGGCAGAATTTCTTCATTTATTCAGCCTTGTGACTTTGGCTTATTTGTTCTGAGCTCTGAAAATAATGCTGTTTTTCCTGCCTGCTTCTCAGCCATCAAAGATTAATTAAATTCTTTTCTTGAGCAGACAGAACAATGTCATTTTGGGCATGAAATAGTAAATAGCTTTGAGCCATTTCCAAATTCATCAACATAATGTGCTAATATGCAAAAATATTTATTCCAATTTCCTGAATCAATGATAATGATAAAAGCTATTACTTCTGCAAAGAGTTATGGTGCTTTCATAATGGGGTGTTGTTACCAAATAATTTGTTTGGCAGACCATCCCATACACTTCAAAGAAGAATAAATTTCGTTCTTGAAATAAATAGAGATTATTTCCCATTCTTATGGAAGGCTGTTCATTTTTCTTTCCCTGTATACCACATATGTCTTTTAAAAATATTCTTTTTTCTGCTGTCAGACTGTTTTCTTTTCTTTTACCCTCCAGTCAGGGGGCTTTACCTTATAGCTTCCCATCATAATCTCATGCAATAGACTTCTGATGCCGAAATGAATTTAAATTCATGAGAAGCATGCATTCCTCATTCAAACGAATCATTGTTCTTGAGGAAAATCTTGCATGCAGGTAGTTCAGATGACAAGTCTAATTGCACTTAGTTTTTTGTAAATGCCTTTAATTTCAATTAGATTATTCTACTGATCAATAATTTTTCTATACAGTACCACATTACTTAAAACTGCAGCAATGCAACTTGATGTCTACAGGTCACTTCTACATCATCTGAAACTCTGAATTGTATGGTACATCACACCACAGTACCATCTGCTTTCTCACACCCCTTGCAATGGCAGCAATGTGAGATAGGCATTATCCAAGCAGAACTTCCTACAGAGGGAATTTGTTTAGCGATTATTTTGCTTTTACAGAGGAACTTTCCACATAAAGTAGCAAATAATTAGTTTAATCCTTCCAATTTCTATAAAGGGCTTTAGGATTTTACAGATTAGACATCAGCAATAGTTTTGTGTCTATTTACAACAGTTCTCACCTTACACAGGTACTTAACTCAAGCAGAAAAGAAGAAAACATCCACACGATGTTCAGTCCTGGGCTCCCTCACACAGCTCTCACCCCTGCTTCCAGCACCTTGGTACATCTCTTCCCTTATTACCATTCCAACCCCAAAGCAACTGCAGATACTGCTGTACAGTTAACAAAGGTTTGGCCAAGGGCCTTTTTTCCTTGATAACCAATACTCTAACTTTCTAATCCTTCCACAGTTCTCTACCACTAAGCCCCTTCAGGTGACAACGTCACCTGAATGTACACACACGTATTCAAGCATATAGAAAACCTGTTATGTTTTTGTCAAAAACGTTTTGAATTAGCACAACACTTCAAAAGATCTAATTATAACTGCTTAGGGTTTTGATTATCATTTTCTTTCAAATACTTATTTCATTATAGGACCAATTTGACTAGCTCTCCAGCAGGAGACTTGAAATCAGCTATTATCATCTTCCATTTCAGTAATCAAGTCACCAGTGAGGTTCTTGATCAATTGTCAATCCGTGCATCTTCATTAGAGTCCACTTGCTGTTCCCACAAAAGCACAGGCACAAAGCAGTCAGAAAAATATACTTACCTTCTTAATCTACAGAGTAGATAGTACTCAACACAAAGGGCTTTGTAGAGGATGCAGTCTGAATGGAAAGCAAAGGCTTATTTAAGATTAAACCAGAGGTGCCATCTAAAACAGTCCTGTAAAATACACAGCCTCTTCCTCCCCAGGCTCATTTTCCTGGATTTTGCCTTTTTACAAAATGTCCTCAGAGGACCATATGATACTTTTTCTTCTACATTTCATTGTTATTTAGCTTTCTGTTTTTCTCCCATGTCCTTCAGACTCTACAACCTTTGACATTGTGACAATGGACTTTTACAGATACAGGAAAAATCTGAAACTATTACAAGCCTTTCAGATGCTCTTAAAAGCTAAAAAAAAAATTCAAGAGGATGCCTGGCACACGAAACCAATTGAACAGGAGGCCCAAACAGCTGATCTTTCAAAACAAATTTCATATACTCAACTGTTCCAGCTCTCCTCCTCCCCACTTAGCTAGCCCATGCCAGCTCCCAACTGCACAGTGCGGATGGAGTCAGTGTGTTCTGGGGTCAGTGTGCTGTCATGAAACTGGGCAGGCATTGAATTCCCCAGCACAGCTTTTCAAGCAGATATTTGGAGCAGATATTTGTTAGTGATTGTACCACGCTTTAATGGAGTAAATTAAACCATGTTTGCATTCAATTTCTGCCACAGAGATTAAGGTTTGGAATTAACTTTGTTCCCTAAAGCTCAGGTCCATTTTAGTAGTTGGTGCCAACGTGATCTAGGAGTAACCAAATGTAGAAGGGTCAGAATCATAACTGGAAACTCTCGTCCTGAAATCCAACACTTCATATGAGAGAGTGAGTGTGTGAGCAAACACGTGTTTGGTTTTCAATTATTAGTTTTACATTTCGGTTTTCTGCTATGAAAATATGCCATTGACAAAAATAGTTTTTTTCAAGATTTTATCTTCAAATTTGTTCTAAGAACTAAAAGGCATCACCAACAGTTTGCTGGCTTGTTCTATTATTGCAGGCTTCAGTGTGATAGATACCATCTCTATAGTGCCAGACAGCTGAACAGGAACTAAAACAGTGCAACATACCAGTGTGCATGGCAGGAATCACCCTCTGTTCTCTAATGGACGCATACTTCTGGAAGTCGGAAATTTTGCCAAGACGAGAGATTTCCTTTCTGCAAAACAAACAAGCAAACAGCTAAATAAAAGCAGCAGTTCTCTCTCATTTTCCTCAGTATTCAAAGCAAGGAAAATTGGACTTGAAATTTCCCATTTCAATCTATGGTTACAAGTAGAATATGTAGGGCTTCACAGCGTTGTAACTGGTTTAACTGATATCACAGAAAAGAAGCCCATATTCTAGAGGAGGTGGGAAAGGATCGGATGAGGAAAATCAAACATGAACGACCCTTTGTCCTTTACAGTATTTACTCCCAACCAGCCTGTTTTTAAATGAGTGAACTCTATTCATATTTGCAGGAATAAATAAGAACCAAAGCTACTTCCTGAGTAGCAGTGATTCAACACAAAACTAGGTGTCAAATCTGCCTACCAGACTTGGTTGTTAACCTCTGCAGCCAGTACACAGGATGACAGATAATATCTCAAGATCAAAACCTCACTAGGTTCAGTGTGTCCATTTTATACCATCTCTGAACATCCGCCTTGCACAGCTGCAGAGATCAGCCTCTCTTGTGGATAACAAGGGAGCTATACACATAAGTGTAAAGACTTCTGTAACATCCACATCAGCCTACACTGAAAATTGGAAGTAGATTAAATGCTTCAAAACAAGAAGTTATGATGAAATTCAACATCCGGTAGAAAAATAATATTATTCAAGGTTGAAGTGCTTTGTATTCCAGTCTGAGAAGGCCAGAGCCCTTTTTCAGTCTGATCCATTATAATGCACTACGCATTTATGCTGAGTAAGGCTGACTTTGCCCTACCCCATTAATATCCACTCTATCCCATTAATATCAATTTGAGTAAGCACAGCTGAGAACTGCATATACTTTTCAAGTCTGGAGTCACAAATCATTCCCATTTGTTCCAAAAAGGCAAAACTTACAAGTCTTTCCAGACACAAGGTAAATGATGTGTTTGATAGACACAGACTGATACTGAAAATCACCTGTTTCTGGTCAAAGCAGGTATGGGAGAATTCTTTTTCTGAATATTTAGATTTACTGGTGGCAAAAGTAAAGTATGTTCACTGATAATACATTTTTATATTAGTACTTAGCATTGCTACTGGATCGCAATTAATGCAAAATTTAATTACTGTTATCATATTGTCACAAAAATCTCCTGGCTTTTTATACTTCTTAGGCAAACTCCAAAAAGCAACTTATTTAAATGGAAGATGGTAACATATCACAAGATCTATGCATCTTATTAATCTGGCTGACAATTTTGCACTTTGAATACTGGCCATTAAGAATGGATGCAAGCAGGGATTATTCAGTAATTCTGCAGAAAGCAAAACCAGCCATACAAGAAGGTAGAGATGATACAACAGAATAATAGAATGGCTTGGGAAGGGACCTCAAAGATGATCCCCGTTAGATACTGAAAGGCCTCTCTCAGGTCACTTTGCAGCCTTCTCTTCTCCAGGCTGAACAGCCCCAGCTCTCTCAGCCTGTCCTTATAGGAGAGGTGTTCCATCCCTGGCATCATTTTTGTGGCCCTTCTATGGACACGCTCCAACAGCTCCATGTCTCTCCTGTATTAAGGACTCCATATCTTTACTTTAAGTGAAGCCTCACCTGCACAGAATAAAGGGGTAGGATCACCTTCCTCGCCCTGCTGGCCACACTGCTTTTGATGCAGCTCAGGATACTTGGCTTTCTGGGCTGCAAGGGCACATTGCTGGCTCATGTCCAGCTTACCATCCACCATTACCCCTAGGTCTGTTACAGCAGGGCTACACTCAATCCTTTCATCCCCCAGCTTGTATTAGCAGTGGGGGTTGCCTTGACCCAGGTGCAAGATCTTGCATTTGGATTTGTTGAACCTCATGAGATTCACTTGGGCCACTGCTCAAGCCTGTCTATGCCTCTCTGGATACATCACCGCACCCCACAGCTTGCTGTCAGATTGTAATCTAGAACAGAATTATATGCAGGCTTTGCAGACTTCATTCCACTTTGTCTGGACTTTTAAGATGTTTAAACATCCCGTGTTATCTATTAGAGGATATTTACAATGGCACCTCATGACATTATTATGGAAAAATTATATCTTCAAGCAAATACCTATGTAACTGTAATTTGGGAAGCACAAATATTTGTGCAATGTTCTTATTCAAACATCTCATGAAATCTGAAATGGCTTTAGTAAAAGTCAGTCAGGTGGTAACAGAACAGGCTTTGTTCCTCTATGTCTTATTTTGAAATAATACTCTAAATATATTGTGGATTATATTTTTACTCATACCATATTTATTGTTTCAGGAAGATAAGGTGATAAATAATTGCATCATTATCAAGAGAAAATAACAGGAAAACAGGCAAAAGAATGTCTCATTTTATCTGTAAAAGGTTCATCAAAAGCCTATAGCAACACTAGGCAAGAGGAATAATCTGTATTCTTACAGATGTTTTTCTTTGTGCAGAGGCCAATGAAGCCTTTATCAATTAGTGTTGTAGCAAAAAATTCAAAGAACTCAGATCTTCCTTTACTTATGAAAAAAAATGTCTACAGTAATACTGTAATAGGAACGTGTGCTAAGCTGGCGTCATTAGGATGAAAATAGAACCAGCTTCTAGAATAACATTCTTGTATTTACAACACGGAGCGTTGCAGTCTCTTACTCTAGAATACTCTTGTACCGACAGCACAGTAAGAATATAACTCAATCCATACAGACATCAAGGCAGAGACAGATGTTTAAGAGCACAATGAAATGAAAGGCCCTTTCATTGGGGTACAAAGAAATTGGTTTTCAGAACACAGATTTGAGAACTGTTAGTCAATTATTTTAAAAGTTTATCAAACAACCTTTCTCACCAAAGGTGCAAACAAACACACCCATTAAATCAATAGGCTCATCTGGGGTACAATCAGGATGCCGGTTCACTCATCGCCTAAGTAAAAAGTGAACAAGCACTTTTTTGTGTGTGTGTTTACTTTGTGCATGTGATATTGCAGTGTTTAAACTGCAGAAGTTTTCCTCGTAGCCTGCTATTGGTATTTTTTTCTTACTTTTCTTCAGCATTCCACAAGTATGAAAGCAGGGCTCCAACATGCAAACGCTCTGCAAGACTGAGTGAAATGAAATCCCTTTCTGGTAAAAAAAAATTCATGGTCTAAAAAGAAAAGATGGGAGCCAGAAGAAAAACCATGACTAGAGGGCTAGGAACTAAGAAACATTTATCTATGATATTAATTAGCTTCATGGCTCTGTTTTGCTTTTAACTTACTACTGGGTAATTGTTGCAGTTTTCCTATGAATTAAGCATTACTAATTTGATTCATTAGTGATTGCACAGAGAAATAACCTTTTTGCTCAAATTTGACAAAAAAACTCAATGGCATAATTCAAAATTTTGAATTCCTATCAAAGGAGAATTCTTGACTTCAAACAGAGGTCTGGTAGTTTCACATTTATTGGGAAAAAAAAGCATCTCTTCATACTCACTAGCACATATAATTCCAATCTCAGCAGTATCTGTAGGGTTTGTATGCTGCTGTGCTTTGGCAACTTGTGAAGACAAGAATCATCTTTGCAGTTTTTCAAGGTTTTCTGGAATCCAGTGTTCCTCCCCCTTGGTTCACACACAATCCCTTCTGTAGCCAGCTAAATACCATGGCCAGTGCAGTCTCAAAGGCCAACAGTTCTCACCCCCACCAAATCAAAGAGAATTCATGCACTGAAACTGGCATTTCACTCACAGTTAACAGTGCAACACGTCTCCTTTGGCTTTGCTGTTTCGTTACTGTAGGAATAGACCTGCACGTTGGAGTTCATGTGCTGGATAGCTCTGGCGGGCATCCGGAGGGCCCACAGCCCCGCGCAGCAGATGAGCACTCACGAGCAGGGATAACAGCACTTTCCAAATCACAAGAGATAAACTTTTTACTTCAAAGGAACTGGATCCAAGAGCCAAGCCATTACTGCATGTCCTAAAATTCACGTTACTCTTAGATCGATTTTCAGCTACAGCTCTTCCCTTTATTCACCAAAACTCAAAAACTTTTTAAATGAAATTCCTAGCAAACTGTAGTTAAGTTCCACACCCCTCCTACAGGTTATAATTACTCCTTGTACATAAAATACACACAAGAATTATTATGTACACGTACATAATGCATTTTGAGATGTCTTAAAGATCCATTCTATTCAAATACCTACTGAAAGCTGTGCATGGGACGAAGCACGGCAAGGTTATCTGCCAGCTATCACACCTCCTGCTTTGCACTTAACTAGTTTCATTCGCTCCATTTGTGCACACAAAGCAACAATGTATTATTAGTCTTTCCACATTCCCTATCTAACAGTAAAATCTAATCCTAAAAAGACTGAGTTATTAGAGCTTGGCATTTGCTGTGATTGCTCTCCTCACAACGGAAGAGGCAATCAGAGGAAGAATTTATGTCCTGTAATTCAATGAATGAATGTGCTTCTCCAGTAATTTCTTTAGTAATTACTTGTGCAAAGTATGTGTTTCTGTAATTGAAATTCTACAGTGTACTATCATTTATTAAAATAGATTATTTATTATGGCATTTTCCATCTTCATTTCATTACTTTCCTTCAATACAATGCTTTCATAGTCACATTTTTAATTCATGTTATTGGTCTGGAGATGCTGAAAGTTGCAGTGTAACTTATAAGCATTCAAACAGAAAAACATGTTATTAAGTGGGAACATAACAGGAGGAGAGGACAAAGTAAGGCACTGATGAGAAGATGCATTTCTCCAGAAATTCCATTATCCACTTTCAGCAAAGCAGTCGGTAAGTAAAACAGCAAAATATTCTAACATCCCCTACTTTACATAGTCATTCAACTGTAAAGATCACGTTAATGACCTTAATTAGCATTCCTACCCTCTAACAAGTATTCCTGAGGGGGTAGTAAAAAGAAACACAATATCTTCAGGGAAAAGCTGCAAAGGAAATCCTGAAGCACCCATTTCTTCATTTATTTCCTCACCAGAAAGAACTAAAG